AACAGGTCATCAAACTGGGCACGGGACAGGCGGAAGTACCGCTGACAGCAAATTGTGAAATGGTGAAACTTAAAGCAAAAGTTGAAACTCGCCAAACGGTTCGCCTCCGAAGGGTCCGGTGGACACAAATACGGCTCGATGATCCCCGCGCCGCTGTTTTAGCTCTCCAGAGCAAGTATGGTGCGGTGAATCTCTCAATGAATGCTCAAACAAAATAAAAAAGATGGCCGCCAACGGGGTTCAATTTTGACGCGCGTAAATTTCACTTCAAACTTTTGATTTTACTTGCGTCAGTTTCGCTCTTGATGCGTTAATTAACACAAAGTGGTCAAGCGTCAAACTAGACGCGGTAGACGCGAATTTGATGTGTTTTTCGCATCCGGTGTGAACGTAGCATGAGTATTAGATTATGAAAGGCTCCACAAAGAGCAGCATGCACATCCCGTGCACAGAATGATGCACTTGAAGCAACGCGTCACAGTGCTCAACACTTCACATTGAAAAGTTCATAGCACTTCATAAGGGATTATATTTATCTATGCTTAGTAGGGCTGCACGATTTGGGGAAAATGTCATATTGCGATTATTGAGGTCAATATTGCAATTGCGATATGCGATTGCGATATAATAAACAAATGATTTCATGAGTCAACTTTCTTGGTTCTAAAGTAAAATGCACACAGAGATTAGTGATAATTCTGTGTATTAATGTGTATTTCTCAACTCAAACTAGCAACAACTACTAAATGATTGATAATACCGATAATGATCAATAAACCATCAACCAAACCAACCTTACAGTGATTACATCATTACAATTGAAAGCTATCAAATTAAAAATATTAGAATAAATCCTGGCATGGGCATATTACATGCACTAAAATGTTCAACGCCATATGTAGCAGCACATCTTAGAAAATGTTTTTCACTTTTGAATAAAATGCTATTTCAGTGATTAGAAATAAAAAAATGGCAACATGATGGATGTTTTCATATCTCACGCCTGCATAGTGCATACCTAAGGACTTTAAAAGTTTTATTAAAATCCGTACATATTCTTAAAGTACTGGAATCAGACACAGATAGTGAGTTGTTGACTCTAGAACTGCTCCCATTGATTCAGTCCCATTCATGAATATATAGCTCAAATAGTTTTGTGAACCGTTCAACTGATTCATTTGAGATATGAATCAAATTTGATACATGTTTACAGTGGAAGCAATATGTTTCATGAATTATTATTTTTTATAAGTAGAGTTTTTACTCACGTTCTTAATGGTTCATTCACGAATCAGACTTCTCCCGTGCATCCTTTGTGAACTGCTTCTCAGAAGTCAGTCAGTCTAGGCAGCCATAGTTGTAGCCCTTTGACATAAACTGAAGCCAAAGACATGATGGAAATGCTCACATTCTCAGTATCAAAGATTCGGTGAGTCTCTTGTGTACAATACACAGGTTTATTCTCTCACAGATAAAGAGAAGCCATGCTTTGAAAGTTTTTTTTATGTGCCACATGACCAATCCCAGGATTTGTCTCAGACAGGAAGTTAGTGTTGCTGGGGCGAACACTCAGGGGGGAAACAGTGGGAGATAAAAGTGTACCTCATTCATAAATATTCATGTCAGTTGTGGATGAGGGTTGAGAAATTGAATCTCATTGCAGTGACTCACCATGTGACAGGTGCTAGATCTGCAGACAGACTCAATGTGTTCGTAGGGCTTTCAGTAATTATGCCCTTAGACCAAGCAGAGGACTGGTGGGAGCAATGGTCCATCATCTCCATGAACCAGAAAAACTACGAGGACGGGCAGAATAACATTTTCAGGTGTGAATGTACTGAATCAACCACAGCAGTGCACGCAGTCTCTGATCTATAATGGGTATTTCTTCATTGTCTATCTATCTATCTATCTATCTATCTATCTATCTATCTATCTATCTATCTATCTATCTATCTATCTATCTATCTATCTATCTATCTATCTATCTATCTATCTATCTATCTATCTATCTGTCTATCTGTCTGTCTGTCTATCTATCTATCTATCTGTCTGTCTATCTGTCTATCTATCTATCTGTCTGTCTGTCTGTCTGTCTATATGTATATCTATATATGTATGTATATTATATATATATGTATATTTTCACACATATATGTATATATATATATATATATATATATATATATATATATATATGTACATATGTAAATATAAATAATGAATAATTATTATATTATTACTATCTATAATTACTATCTATCTTGGTTACTTTTACTATCTATCTTGGTTACTATCTATAAATACTGTTATCTTGGTTAATTAATTACTATCTAATAATTACTATCTCTCTATCTGTCTGTCTGTCTGTCTATATATATATATATATAAGATATATATATATATATATATATTGTGCATACATCTATCATATATATATGTGTACATATATATATATATATATATGTACATATGTATATATAAATAATGAATAATTATTACAATTAAATGAACCTTCACCAATGAGATCAGTTTAGTGTATCTTTATTAAATGTCATATGTATACAAATACACTACACGAAAATAGTATTTACATTACTGTTTTAAAGACAGCGCATCTGCCATATTGTACATATCCTAATGTAAACTCACTGTAAACAAAATGAATTGCATTTTACACTCATAGTTAAGGACAAGTAGCGATACTGAAACATGAAAAGAAAAAGATAAGCCCTTGAATCTGATTAGTTTCTCAGTCCACATTATCATTTTCTAACTTCAAATTAATCATAACCTCATAACAATCAGACTTATCTCAGGCTCAGTCCATTAATCACAGTCAATTCCATTTCTCAACCTCATTTCTCCCATAATTGAAATTACGTTGTGCACATAATTTGGAAATTTCTGACTGGAGTATAAAATGCAGTGAGCCAGTGCGTGCTTCATATTTGTGAATATGCTGTGATTTTTGGTCCTAGTCAGTTCTTGTGATTATGTCTATATGGGATGCATCAAGTGATTTATCAATGAATCATTCATTGATAAAGAACACATTTGAATAAAATTTCATCCACTGAATTATATTGCCCTGTTGTTCCACTATTTCCGTTCTGGCTCGTACTTTTCTGAATAGTTTTGTATTGCAGCACGTATACTTAACAATTTCGCTTTTAATAAAATCATCTGCTAAATGAATTAAGATAAATATATCACTTTTTTCATTATATTCTTATAATTAGACATTTTAAAAATGTATATTTATCACACTGGTGTTGATAATATAGAATGAAACTTACTGTACATGTAGAGAGCCAGATAAGCCTAATCGAATAGTTTTTCTGCAGAATAATATCTTTTGTTTTGTCTCTCAAGTTCAGACATTGAAGCCAAAGTAAAATGCAATGCTTAGCCTGGGACCTTAACAAACAAATCCAATCGACCACCCACTCTCCTAATACTGTCTGTATACTGAACAGGCCGGTGCGGATTCGGTTAACTAGGTCACTTGAACCCTCGATCTTAATTCGCTGAGCAGAACTTTGATTTCTGGCAGCTCAACAAGGCCCCCACAGAAACGGGCTCATTCAATCGCTGGCTGTTTCCAGGCACCTGTTCAGAGGTGAATGTGTGCAGCTGAGGATTGGATTAGTTGACTTATTCTTGCTCAAAGTGCCTGAATCAAATCAATCAGAGCCCTTTCCTTCCCTGTTCCTCATCTGGGACTTCCACGGTTTTGCAGCAGATGAAAGACTTGCTGCCTGTTCCCCGGCTGTTTCTAACAAAACACCACAACAGCCTTTGACGGACCTCCGAATTTGGTGGGAGAGATTGTGCTATAGGATATTTAAAGGGGTGATGAACGGAGAAATCAAATTTTCCTTGAGCTTTTGACATCTAAGAGGTCATCATTTTGTACGTCCTTGTTACGTCCAATAAAAGCATTTATTGACAAACGACTCGTTTTTCAAAGTGGGGAACTATGACGTCAAAGAGGATAAAACACCACCCCCGCAGAAGAAGATCAACGCCTACTTCAACACGGCCGGTTTAGCCCCGCCCAAAAACATTGTCCGTCTGTTCGCTTCATTTCACTGAGGATTGTTTTGTAAACAAGTCTGGATTTGCAGACCGATTAAGAGTAAAGAACGGTGCTGTGCCGTCTATATTGGATCTGACCGGAATGGTGCAACACATGGACTCTGGGTCGAACATGTACGGGTCGAATCATTTTACAACATTGGACGTTTTCAAAACAATTTCCCCCAAAGTGCATCGACGAGTGAGTTGAAACTCATTATAATATGCAAAACTGTTATCCACTCACAGCAGTGGGCGTTTACTTCCAAGTCTTCAGTGCGAGACGCCCATAAAAAACGAGCGTTTCTGAGCTAGGCTCAAAACTAGGTTAGAAAATAGCCTATTACTTATTCATTTTGATGTTTTTGAATGCAAAAACCAAGCGAACGTCATAAGTTGACCTCAGAAAACAATATAGTAAAATTTAAAAAGCCAGTTCATGACCCCTTTAAAAGCTTTACAGTGCAGAGTTATAGTTTATATTTATTCTCATGCTTCTTTTTAGTGTAGCTTTAGTGAGTGATGGAAGAAAGGAAAAGAATAAAAACTACCGTGAATAATTAGAAAAAGTAAGATTTCACGATGCACAAACAAGCAGTTACGGCACTGCTCACTGCTCATGCACACAACACACAACAGAATGACTGAGAAGCATGGAGGAGAAAAATTTTACCAGGCAGTGAGGCTGACAGGATCCGTCTTAGACTAGAGTTATTCCACTTGATCTGGTTCTCCTGCAATCAGAGGGAAGTGCAGGAGCAGGTCATGTTCTTTGGGTTGATATTTCCAGGTTTACGCATTGCTGAATTAACTCAATTGGATACAACAAAGTTCATCGACCTGTTTACGAAAACCTCACAATGCAACATCCTGTTAGCATCAAAGACGGCGATGGGAGGGGAAAATAAAGATGAATAGAATGAGGAAAGAAAAAGCTTTATTTTATTTTCATCTCCACAATTAGCACTCCATTAGAAACAGTCTGTCTCGAACATCCTATTGAATAAAACAAAATAAATCATTATATTTTAGTAAATAATGCGGAACACAACAACTTCAACCGGCTACTTCTTGGCACAATGTACTGTATAATCTGCATAAATATATTGGCAATGGTTTTAATATAGTTTTATAGTCGCATCTGTTTGGGGAAAAATAAAATCAAATAAAATAAAATGCACCTTCTGTACGACACATTTGTAAAAGTGCAAAACAACCTTACATGTGGCAGCAGATACACCAACTGATGACATTTTGACAAATATTTCAACATGCTCGTATGCATTTGAGAGTACACGTAAAAAAAGTAATGCCGAATGTTACGCAAAAAAGGAGACCAAACACATATTTCTAAGCCTCCATGTTTTTTAACAGTGTTGCTCATGGCACGACAATGCTACCTCCGCATTATTTTCTATTTTCAGTAATGTGACCATCGCTGCTAATTCTCTTCTGACTCCATATTTCAAGCGCCATTTGTTTAGTTGCTTGACCGAGGTGTTTTATAATGAGAAAACAAAAGGCACAGCCTCAAGCCCAGTGTCTTCATGCCGCCATCATTAAATCAATATCACACCCAACTATTTTCAGTATATTATTTCAGATATGAGTTTCATACTCCACGGCAGGGATCGATAATCATTTCTGTAATGTCTCATCGCTCCAAAGCCATTCTTTCCGTCCACATTTATTAGATCTTATTGCTATTGATCTGAATCTTTACGTGTGCCAATTCTTTACATCCGTTTCCTTTTAACTTGTCATTGACGGAACACAAACACATCATTGTTACAGTGGATATAAATTGTGGTGAACGTTTCCAAGTGTCCCAGGTGGATGTTATCGTGAGAGCGTAACATGCTCACCCCTGTTGTGCCTCCAGTCCACTAGGGGCAGTGTGGAGAGTCCTTTCATGAGAATAATCACTCGGCTCTCTGCCACTTGCTTTGAAGCGTTTTCAGCCTCTCACACAGTCACCTCAGTCTTACTGTTGGTTACAAAGTAGGGTTGCGTTGGTAGGTAATGATGACTGCGGGCAGTGTGGAGCTCATTAACTCGCTCCATCGTGCACACCTTCCTAGGGCCGTAGGTTTTGCGGCGACCCGCAGTCTCTGCGTTCTCCCAGCTCCTGAGCATGCCGGGGTTTGCGATTGTATTGGAGCTGTAGGCCATCGCGGGATGGGTCACGTTGGCTTTAATGCTTTTGGGCTTCTGTCCATTCTGCTTGAGGCACGGGACCTCAGTGACATAAGAAGCTGTGGGCTCCACATGCTCCATTCTGACTGTATGAAGCGGCAGGCTTCCCTTAGCCGCCAACTCGACCAAGTGGCGGTGTTGCTTGTTGAGGAAATCACCATTGGCTTTGGCCGCTGACGAAGAGATAGAGAGGAAGAGTGAGGTTAGTTCAAGCTCAAGGGAGATTGCAGTAATGTGAAGTTGTCATACATAAAAGTTTCATATAGTGAGAAACTGAAATTTTATGTACCCAGTTCAAAAAAGCATTACTTGAAATTATGCGACAAAAAATTGCCTATCACTGAGGAAAAAGTAGAACAGATGCTATTACTCCTGAAGAGAAAAAAATATATTGGACTGTTTTGAACATTATGTTCAATTGCTGTTGTTTCTGTAGAAAAGGGGGCACACTGTGTACCTACTCTAATGGTTGTTTTTGGTTGAAAGGTTATAGCATAAATGTTGAACATATTATACAGATGTTAAAGAGGTCATGTCATAAAAAAATTAATCATTAAGAAGGGGTCATATCATATTTTTTATTATTTATATTTTTATGAAACTTATTTTTTTAAATGTTTTTGTTTTATAACAAAATCATAATATAAAATAAAATATGTAATATTTTAAAAGAAATATTGGTAACACTTTACAATACGGGTGCACTAATATGCATTAATGCATGCTTAACTAATGCACAGATAATCATGAGTTAATGTATAACTCTTGAAGAACTACAGTAAACCATTCATTAATGATTACTGCATCAGCAACTAATAAAGATTCTGTAGGATTAATAGATTAAGTAATACATGAATTGCTATTAATTCAATGTGTCGTTGTGTATTAATTTCTTAATAACATATTTTATTAACTAATAGTGTAAATTAATGTGTTAATTACCACAATTAGTCAAATGCACTTCAACTTCCAGTTGTCTGCTTTAATTAATCGTTAGCTAATGATTTGCAAAGGCATCATTATGTTATGACTTTACTTGTTGGGGCACATCATTATTAACTAGTAATTTAGTAATTGAGGTATTTTGCACATGAATTTGCACTAACAATCAAATAATTAATCATGTATTAATGCATATTAGTGTACCTGGAAGTTGAAATACAAAGCTTTGGCTTATTCTGGTAATTAACATATTCATTAACACTACTAGTCAAAAATGAGTAAATATGGAATTAATCCACAATTACATATTTAATTAATAACAATTAATGTATTAACTAATACATTAACCTTACAGACTCTTAATTAGTTCCTAATGTGGTAATCATTAATGAATAGCTTAGATAATCATTGGTTACACATTAATTCAGTATTATCTGTGCATTAGTTAAGCATGAATTAATCCTTATTAGTGCACCTGTATTGTAAAGTGTTACCGAACTATTTAAAAAAAAAAAATTAAGTAGGACCCCTTTAAATCAAATTTATTTTAATAATTAAAACGATGTTCATCTGAGTGAAATGGATAATCAAAAAAATAAAAATAAAAAAATGGCTGGGACTTGGTTCTCTCCATCGGTTGTTGATATGATGGAGGCAGATCTGATTGTGAGCTTGAGGTCTATTGTAAGAAAGGGGCGGGGTTTAAGATTGCACAACACGGCACCGTTTTCAACTAAAAACGTAAAACGTTTAGTTCCGTGGGGAACAACTATTGAAGCACACCCAGTTCACAGTTGGTTCTTTAATCCCTCTCAAAGAAGAGTAGTGTCAGCTGTCTTACCTCGCCTTCTTGAAGTTAAGCAAACACAATCACCACTGAACACAATTTGGGTAAAGGAGACCAGATTGACTAGGCAACAATATGGAAAAAAATTCTGTAATAAATTGGTGATTCAAAAAATGCAAATCACCAATTTATTCATTTCAATGTACTGGCCACCAAAGACACGTTCCATCACTAAAAATCATCTCCAAATCCTCGCTGTAATTTTTGTACCAACCCTACCAACACGTGGGAAAATTCATGCATATGGTGTGGAAATGTGAGAAGGTTTTTTGAGTTTTGGGAAAAGATTACATCAGTATTGTCTAATAAGATGCAACCAGCTGTACTCCTTCTCTAAATGATGATTCCAATTTAGGTTTCACTGAGCCACAAAGAAAGATCTGACTGGCAGGTCTAACATCTGCCAAAAAGATAATTGCACAAAGATGGCTCCCAATAATTTATCTGTGCGACACTCGCCATTTCAGTTACATTATTTAGTAATGTTATAACTTTTAACAGCTAAGCCAAAGCCAACCCTGATCAACCTGCAGCAGATGAACTGACAGGAAAGCTTTAAGATGGAATGATTTAATTTGGGGGACAATTTAAACTTGTAAACCTCTGATGATCTTTGTTATTATACTTATCCTAAGTTTCTCATTTTGCAGTCTGTATCTGTTTTTTGTGTTTCTGAATCAAAATTTTTATTGCAATTTTATTGCAAGTAACAGTGAATCCAATCCAAGAGTTGAACAAGGTTTTATCTGTTTAGCAATTCAATCTGTGGACAGTGTAAGTACGGCATGTCGCGTTCCTCTGGGTGATGTGTCCTTTAACCAGGTGATTCATGTTTGTAAGGGGATCATTACTCTTAAGCATACTGGGGATCCTAGTGTGGCTTCCTCAGTCTGCTTTTGATGGTCGGCTGCTTTGACGACCTTGAAGATCAACTTTTCACGCTTAAAACGAGTTTGGTCTGCGGTGTGATGATAAATCTTATTTATTGCTCGTCTGCCCCTGTGGGAGAAGACGGAGACGTTGGACATTTTTTCACAGTTGCACCGCTCCCTGTATCAGATACATGGATCATCACAGCAGACGGGTGAATCAATTACAGTGCTCAACAGTGCACATCGTCAAGAGCCACAATCAAGATGAATCGTGGTTTTGTAATGGTGCCCCCATCGGCTCGAAAGTCCGTGACTCCACCACGCATGGAGTTAGTGTCATCAGGATCTCAAAGGGTTTTGGTGGGAGGATATTCTAGAACAGGCCTTTATTAGAAGCTCCACTTCTCTATGTCGGGTGGAAATCCAATTTTGTGACCTTAGATATGTATTTGGGGACTGAGAGAGAGAAGTATTGATTTGTAGAATTGGGACTTATCAGCTCTAACACCTCTGCACCTTTGGGAATTTTCATGGAGAAGGCCATTAAATAAGAAAAAATAACAATGATTCCAAAGGGTCAGTTTTTCTCTGCTCTTTAGGCATCGCCACATTGATTGAGGAATTCTCAGGAGAAACAATTGTGGCAACAGTTAAACCATGGCATTATATGCATTTGTGTATTTGTATTTAGCAGACATTTTTATAAATAGCAACTTCAAAACAGGGTTATATATTCAAATCCACCAAAAAAAAAATGTGTTCATAAACAGCTGGGGAACATGCCTCTCTATACATACCACCTAGTGGTTACACCATGATTCTACGCTTTTTCTCTATACTATAACCAGAAGGTGCTAATTTTCTTCAAAAAAATATTTTTTTTTCTGAAGGCCCAGACTCTATATTAAACAAAAATATTGCATTAAGAATTTAAAAAAATATATAATAATAATATATATATATATATATAGAAATATATATATAGAAATTTCCATTGAAAAATAGACCATAAATATTGCATAAATATTAATAAATTCAATCAAATTGTCTCAAAATACTAAATTAAAAAGAATAAATATTATATAACAAAAATAAATTGCATTGGTTTTGCTGGGATGGAAGAAGTTTCATTTTTAGGCCTCCGGTCACTTCTGACCGGGAAGGCCCAGGACGTGACTCATAAAGGAAGACCATCAGAGGGTTAATACAAGGGGGTTGTAAACATTTCATGTTTTCTAATATGCCATTTCATATTAAAACATATTTTATCTGATTTTTTTTTAAGTCATGAAAATGTATTGTAGTTTAGTTTCAGTTTTCCCAGTTATGTTTATTTCAATCTCTGTATGTACACTCATCGCCCACTTTGAATGTGAAATGAACGTGAAAATGGATTTTTAATGATGAAATAGAATAGACAATTTAAAAAAAATTGCATTGGTTTGCAAAATTTGCAAAAGTGCATAGACTTTCTAGCATTAATATGAGGCTATAGCAACATTTAAGTAAAGGACAGTCTGTTTTGCACATTTGATTGGCACATTTGACACATTAAAGCTACACTGTGTGATTTTTATCCCCATCTAGCGGTGAAAGGGTATATGACCATCCAGTGAATATTAGTTTCTGTTCCTCTCAATTCCGATTTCGTTTTAACTCCTACGGTGGACAATGTAGTCCAAGATTAACATGGCTTCCAGTTCGACCTCGTCCATGAGTGTTAACTCAAACGTAAACGCGAAAAGCGAAGCTTGAATTAACGGGTATCTTTGGCTAATGTACTTTCAAGATGGAGGGGCAACATGGCGACCGACACTAGAACCCCTTACCCGTATGTATTTTTAATGGCATATTATACACTCACGAGAATACTTTATTACTTGAACGAAGTAAATATACATTAATGTACATATATTGATGTAATAATGTGCATATATGTTTGAAATATAAGTGTTTTTAGCTAAGAATAAACTAAAAGAGTTACACAGTGTAGCTTTAAGCTACGAACTTCCCGGGCCACAAAGAATGTAACTCTATGCTGAGTAGTGTCATGATTCTGCCCTCTTGTCATTTCCTTTCTCTAGTCCTGTGGCAGGATCATGACAGACCTATGTTTTGTGTGCAGGCACATGGCCTTGTTTTTGGGCTGTGTGCTTGTTGTCTCGTTCGCTTACCCCGCCCACTTGTTATCCTCATCTTTTCTTAATTGCCTGATCGGTGTCACCTGCTGTCGTTATCTGTTCTCCCTATATTATTCCCTTGTGTTTGCTGTCCTGGGCTGGTTCATTGTGATTGATTGTGTGTGTATCCACACGGTATATTGTGAGTACCTTGTCTTGAGATCTGTCTAAACTAAGAAGTTTTCTTGTAATAGTTATTTTGTTCCTGTGAAGTGTGTGTCTTAGTCTTAATCTAGTATTGTTAGTCTTTTGCTTTGCCTGTGCTGTTTTCCCCCCTCGTGGGGTTTTATTTTCCCTTTTTGTTCAATAAACCTGGTGTGTGTCAGCAAACTGTCTGCGATTGGGTTCGTTCCTGAAAACTCATGACAGAATGAACCAGCCAAAGAAGAACCCAGCAGACAGTTTGTCTTCTTCTGCCAAGCAACAATCTGATCCCCTTGAACAATGGTGGCTGTCGACTACCTCTGACATGATCAGTGGCAAGGCACCGTTTCCTGCCCAGGGAGAGAGGTCGTTGAGAGAGTACGCCCAGGCCGTGGAAGAGAGGAGGAGGTTCTTGCCAGAGATTCTCCTCAATTCATACTTCATCGCGGGTCTCAAGGGTCCTCCTCCTTTGACTGAACGGGAGGGGCTGATCCGTCGTCCGTTTCGTGAAGTGGTGGACCGTTTGTGTCGTGATGAGCTGCAGGGCTCCTCCAAGAGATCTTCTCCTTCTGCCTGGCTGCCAGTTATTCCTGAGGGTCGTTTGATTGGCGTCGCGACGTTTGGGAACCAGGTTAGCTCCTCCACGACTCCTGAGACTTCATCTGCTTCTTTCGGTCTTTGTGGGAAACGAGGTAGACGGACCTCATGGGAGTCTCCTTCAGAGTCCTCAGCGACAGAGTCGACCCAGCCAGAGGAAGCCACTTCAGCCGTCACGGTTCCTGCTTTGCTTCCCCAGCCGCTCACAGATCTGGCTTTGGTCTCTGCTTCACGCCCTAGGAGAAAGAGGAGGAAGAAGGGGGCCTGCCGTTCCTCGTCTCTTCCTTCCCCTGAGCCCGTGACTGTTTCTCAACCTTTCACTACTACTGAAAGAGCCGTTCCAGAGTCTGCCACAGAGAAGGCAGCTCAGAAGTCTGAAGCAGAGGGAACGGTTCCTGGACCAGCTGCTGAGGGCGCTGATTCTACCAGCGTCGTTCCCGAGCGACCAGCTGCTGAGGGTATTGCTTCAGCCAGCGCTGTTCCCGAGACTGTCTCTGCCAACGCTGTTCCCGAGCCGGTTTCAGACAACACTGTTCTAGGGTCTGTTCCTGTCAACTCGGTCCCAGTGTCAGCTGCGGACATCGCAGGTTCAGAGTCTGACATGAGCAGCACCTCTTCTGAATCTGATGTGATGAGCGCTGTTTCTGGTTCTGCTACGGAGAACACTGATCCCTTTCCTGCTCTTCAGCCAACCACAGTGTTGCCCTTCTCCGCCCCACAGTCGGCTACATCTCGCCCTGTCTTTTGTCCTGTACCGTGTCCTTCCCCGTCCCAGTCTAGTTCTCCTTGCACTTCTCCACGTGTCACCCTGTCCCAGTCTGGTTCCCCCAAGGCTTCTCCACATGTCTCCCCATCCAAGTCAGCCCGCATTCCTCGTCCTCAACCCTTGTCCAGTAAACCCAAGACCCCCAGTCCTCCCACCCTTCCTGGTCAACGCCCTATGAACTTTCTTGTTCCCCCACCCCCCCTCCCTTGTTTGTTATTTTTATTGATGCATCCCAATCCCATTATTGTATATTCTTGTATGCCGTTGCTTTTATTTGTCATGTTTTGTTGGTTTGTGTCCATTTCCCAGTCTGTCATGTCTCGTGTGTGATGTCCTCTTTTGGAGCGTCTGGGAGCCGCTCCTTAAGGTGGGGATTCTGTCATGATTCTGCCCTCTTGTCATTTCCTTTCTCTAGTCCTGTGGCAGGATCATGACAGACCTATGTTTTGTGTGCAGGCACATGGCCTTGTTTTTGGGCTGTGTGCTTGTTGTCTCGTTCGCTTACCCCGCCCACTTGTTATCCTCATCTTTTCTTAATTGCCTGATCGGTGTCACCTGCTGTCGTTATCTGTTCTCCCTATATTATTCCCTTGTGTTTGCTGTCCTGGGCTGGTTCATTGTGATTGATTGTGTGTGTATCCACACGGTATATTGTGAGTACCTTGTCTTGAGATCTGTCTAAACTAAGAAGTTTTCTTGTAATAGTTATTTTGTTCCTGTGAAGTGTGTGTCTTAGTCTTAATCTAGTATTGTTAGTCTTTTGCTTTGCCTGTGCTGTTTTCCCCCCTCGTGGGGTTTTATTTTCCCTTTTTGTTCAATAAACCTGGTGTGTGTCAGCAAACTGTCTGCGATTGGGTTCGTTCCTGAAAACTCATGACAAGTAGTCTAAAGGTATAAGATTATTATTATTATTATTATTTTATGTTTTTTTTTATGTTTAGGGGGCTAGATAACTGGTCATAGTCAGTTGATTACTTCATTGTATTGTTATTGTTTATCACTGGCTTTAGTATCATAAAAGTATATATCTGTTAAAGCATCTGTTTGTGTTATGTGACGGTGTCGCAATGAGTGTGTATTTTATAGTAAATCAGACACAATTAATTACTTTTGGTGTAGTGGTAATAGCATAGTAACCTGTGTATTAATGGCAACACTGCTGAAATTGTGAATCTAAGGCTTGGTGTATCAAAATGGCTCAGGCGATTTTCCTTTCTGTGTTATGTAGTGATATAATTCAATGCTCTTCCATCTGTATCTGCTCAGTAGATTTTAGTTTCATAGTTGTTGTAGCAATAGTTTTTTTTTTACAGTCTGATAAATACAAGAATGGGCCATATACTGTAAGTTTTTAAAATCTGGTAATAGTTTGTGTTACATCACCGCCCCCACTTGTTACAGTACATCATACAACCCCTTCTTTAGTGCTCAACTGGTGCCGGCTCTGCTTGAACATGACGATGAGTTTACTAAACTCAAATTGCCTCAATAGTCACCAGGGGCCTCATGTATAAAACTTTGCGTAGATTTCATCCTTAAAGTGTGCGTACCCACATAAGGCAGAATTTGCGTGCGCACAAAAGTTTTCAGTTTTATAAAACCGTTCGTACGCCAGAACCTGCGCAGAATTCACTTTATAAATCCCAGTCAGCGGGAGATTGTGCGCACGTGCGTCTCCTCCCTGAAATAACCATATATGGAGATTACAACGCCTAGTTTAAATATGCATATCCTCATCTGCATATCATTTGCATATGATTATTCATCCACGTGATACCAAGTTTAACGGTACAAGACGTTAGGAAAATATGAAATGTGGATGTGCCGTCACATTACAAACATAATTTTTTTTTTAGTAGCCTATAGCATTGCCTTGTTTTTGAATGAATAAATCAAATAGTGTTAAATACATTTCAGTGAAAGTTTTTCTCAATCTTTTCCTCTGGCCAAATAGTATTTTTAATTGATTTATGTTTTAATGGAAACAGATAGGCATGGTTGTGCATTATTTGCACCAAACAATTTTCTCAGACAATCTGCTATTATCATGATTAGCAATTATCTCTAGTTAAAACATTAAAACACAGCACGCCAGAATAAAAGTGTTCAAAAGCATTGCATCCACAACAAATATGTCTATTTCTATTTATTGAATATAATTTTTTTGTAACTTCTCAGTAATGATTTCATTTTCATTTTCATTTTTTTCATTTTCATTTTCATTACGTAGGCTAGTTTAAGTGTTTAACTCCATTAATGAGAATGGCATAATCTAAACGTTTATATCAGAAGTACATAGTTTAAATTATTCTTTTATCTATTTAAACTGTTATTGAGAACATGCACTCTATTTATGATTTGGACTCATGATGAAGATTTACGGTTTTACTCCATCTGCCGTTAGATTAGCCTATATGTGCGTCAGTTTCACTAAACGACCCAACGCGCGTGCTGGCGTGGTCATTTAAGAAGGGATGGATCTTTGCTTCAAGTGATGATATAGGTTTGTGAAATTATTTTTGAATTATATTTCAGTAGATGTATAATTTTCTCTAGATTCTCTGTCTAATAGTGAGCAAAAAGACATTTGACTCCAGCTCACCATCGGTGTCGCCAAAACACATAGGCCTACTCTTCTAAAAGAGTGCGTACGCACGGTCAAGAGCATCCTTACGGTGCGCACTTATTTACGGCAAGTTTATTTTTTATAAATCGCGATATGCACGTGGAAAAATGCGTACGCATATTTCTATGCCCATTTTGTGCGTACGCAACGTTTATACATCAGGCCCCTGATCTCAATCCAATAGAGCACCTTTGGGAAGTGGTGGAATGGGACATTCGAATCATGGACGTGCAGCCGACAAATCTGCAGCAACTAACATTGATATTTCAACTTCAACATTGATAATCATAAGAAATGTTTCTAGAGAGCATATTCGAATGATTTCTGAACGATCATGTGACACTAATAGCTGCTGAAAATTAAGCTTTGCCATTTCATATGTATGTATGCATTATATACATACACACACAGACAGTTTATAATAACTCCCAAGTGAACTGTAATGAGGTACAGTGACTCTCTTTCATTACAGATCCAGTGATGAAACAACTCTCAAAGCCTCTTATTCTGGGATTCATTAATCATTTGTAAAATATTCTGTGGTAAATGCTATGTTCAATATTGCACAGGAAAGATCCACATGATAGTATAACAATGACATGCTAAAAATGATCCTTTCGAGCGTACTGTATATCCTTACCCACGGCCTTCAGTGAGGCGTATTTGTTGAGCTCTTTTGCCAATTGCTGTTGCTCATAGACATGGGACAGCTGGTTGAGGGCTGGATACTGGTGCGTTTGCATCATGTTGTTTATCTGGCCGCCTTCTGCAAACAAACAAAAGAAAAAACATTGTTAAAGGGTTGCATCATTATTTTGTCTTAATGTACACAATGGTTTAGTCATCCCATATACAGTAATATGTCTTGCTTACTGCTGACTAGTGTCACTTGGGATTCAATTGCCACCAATGACTAAAAAGAAACAGACACATAAAGGCTCTAAAACTTTTTGTGCATCCAGTAGGTCGCCGCCGGCAGACGAAAGAAGAATCCAACTGAATGGATCTGATAATGAGCTGAGCGATGATATGTGTATGCGGCTAGTGTCGCAACCCGGTCCAATCTGCCTCCTGTGATGTGACAGTCAAAGAATAAGCGATGGTATGTATATACAACCGCTCGCATTGATTTCCTCCCTTGACTTCCTCCTGTTCATAGAGATGAATTGTCAGCGGTGAATGACGATCAAAGAGGTGTAACCTGCGTGGCAGAGCTGTCAGCGCAGAGCTCCTGTTGTGACTAATTAATCACTTAGCCCTGCAGCAGGGTTGCTGACACACGTCTGTACGGAGCGCCACGCAGTGAGTCATACCGCACCAGACATCACACAGATTACTGCTCAACAGAGCTTCTGAAAAACACTATAGACTATACTGTACACCCATTAGCACTTTTCTCCAATGTTTTCGTCAAATAATAACAGATCATTTTCCTTTGTTTTGCCGAAGAAAAATATCATTTATTTATTAACAGAAGTTCGTCGTTACATCCTTTTATGTAATGTGCAAAATTGGATGACTCAGGGAAACGGATACTGAACACTTTGAGTGCACCAGTGGTCAAGTATTTGAGTAAATGTCATTAGTTACTGTACTTTGGCTACTTTGTATCAACACTGTAAAATCTAACATTGTTCTTACTAAGAATTTTATGTTAACTTTACTTAAAGTGCAATAATTTGTTGAACTTACTTAAAATTTCTTAGTAATCTGTACTGTTTGCATGTGTGCTTTCGTTACTCAGAAAAACCTAGTAAACGTTACTTGACTGGTTTGAGTACCATTTTCAATTTGAATTGGCTCATTTTCCAGTCATCTTGAGTGTTATTGTCAATACACCTAAATATTTTTGGGAGAACATCAAAATTCTTTAGTTGACTTGTTGATTTCCCTTTCTCACCATTATTGTGATTGATGTTCCCTTTGGTTGGGCACTTGGAACTTAATTTATATTATGGTTCTCTTCCAATTGTTTGCAGTGATGCAACTTGAAATCATAATTATTTGATTTCAAAGGAAGTGAAGTAATTTATATATATATATATATATATATACAAACACACATTCTTAAATTAATTAATAAATTATATATAACATAAATATATTTCATGTATAATAATGATCTTTTAACATTTTATTGCTAACGCTTATGGCATAAATCTTTAATTGGGTTGATATAATCCCTTTATATTTGTGACAATATCTTGCAATTTTGGTTGAGTCACACACAGACTTCAACATTCAGCATGCAAACCACAACAGTGGTAACATTTTAAAAAAACTCATTTAATTAATTAGACATATACAATTTTATTTGCTGTCTCTTTTCAGTATACCCCAATAACGATAGCAAATAAAAATGTAATAAAGCCAAAAATAGTAAAATAAAGCAATTAATTTATTCATGCCGCAATGCACTCTGGGAGTACACTTCCTCGGTTCACAGATACTGGAAAGTAAAAGATCAAGTATAGTATAGAAATTATTTTAAGTTACTGGAACTCTCTTGTAAGTGTACACTACTAGGCATGCACTTAAGGACTACATATAATTCCTATTTCACTTTACTCAATTTTTTGAGTGCAATCGGTTTGCATGCTTTTTTCAAGTAAGGTGTACTAATTGGATTTTACAGTGAAGGATATAGAGTGCCGAAGTTATGACGTCACTTTGTAGGACAACTCGGAGGTTAGCGGCGCATGGGTTTTCTCGATTGAAAAGCTATGCATTTTCCGCATAGACTTTTGGAAAATCGCAAAAAATAAGACTAAGAGTTAAGTGACCCTTACACTTTTTGTCTATCAAGAGAATCTTTACAAGTTAATCCAAAATGTATACATTTTGAAGCCTATATAAAATTTAAAAAACACAAGCAGGTTATAACTGGTGTCTTTTATGTCATAGATCAAAACGTGAAAATACATAGAGGCTTTGTTCACTACAGACCTTATTTCAGGCGATTTAGCAAAAATCAGCCCATTCTCATCCCAAGGCGTCATGTACTGACGCTTTTGCAAATGCGCATACATCCAACGCACACATGGCACCCTTTAGCGTCAATATGAGACGCAGATATATATTCCTCCTAGTGGTCTAAACCGACCCATAACCGAAGCATTGACACTAAAGAGTGCCATGTGCGTTGGATGTATACGCATTGTCAAAAGCGTCAGTATATGACGCCCTAGGATGAGAATGCGTTGCAAAAACCCATTCAACTCAATTCCGCGTTTTGGCCTACAAGTGACGTTATAACTTCGGCACTCTATTAGCAACTTTTACTCTACATTTTTGAATAAGTATGTCCTCTTTAATCCAATTCATTTGTAATGACTAATGTAATGGCACCTAACTTTTTCTGCAGCAGTTTTTTTCTTCTGTTTCACCCTTACAAATGTGAGTGTATTAGTTGGTAGCTGCTGGTTTGCAAGTGTTTTATATTTGAGATGAGGACATGGCTGCTGAGGCCAAAACCAGTACGTCCACTGCAAGTGGGCTTTGACTTTTTAGGCTTTAATTAGAGTTAACATTATTTTATGTATCCATAATATTGAAGGATATTGGTTCATGTCCTTTTTGAGCACTTGAGCTTAACTGAGACTGTGTCAAATGCAATATTGAGGTGTTCAGGTTTATTTTGATTTTAGAAAATAAGCATGTGATTGCTCTTCTCACAAATAACGTTTTCTTGTTTTTCACTGGTATGTCTCTGAGGTGTTGATTATTGCATCTTGAGTAAAATACTTAAGTACTGTTACAATAAGATACTCTGTTGCCTGCTCAAGACTGTGTGATTTCTGCAATTCTATAAGATCTTTACCAATCACACTATATGACATGGATCTAATAAACTTGGGTACGTACTTTGAGTATGTAAACTATTAAATTGTAGGCTACGACACAATTTAGTATAGAAGAATAAAACATCATTATTAGCATGCACTAGTGGTAAACAAACAGAGCAAGATGAATCTCACTTTGGCAGTTGTGAATTTTATGTGTGCTGAAAAAAAGAAGAGGATGCGAAAGAGAAGAATATGGACACGGTCATTGCTAGGGAAAAGAGGACAACTTGGAATGCATTTTGCAAATGGAGGTTGATGTAAGTAGTTTTAAGTTTAAAGGAGTAGTTCACTTTTAAAAAAAACGTTTGGTGAAAATTTACTCACCCCCATGTCATCCAAGATGTCCATGTCATTCTTTCTTCAGTCGAAAAGAAATTAAGGTTTTTGATGAAAACATTCCAGGATTTTCTCCATATAATGGACGTTAATGGGAGCCAAAACGGTTCAAGGTCCAAAAGATAGTTTCAGTGCAAACTGCAAACTGTTCAAAGGGCTTTAAATGATTCCAGACGATGATTTCAGCGCGTTCGTGACTCTCCTTTTCGAACTCGTTCATCAAAATGAACGAACCTTTTTTCGAGTCATTTGGTTCATTCAACGAAGAAAATCAACGAATTGACTCGGGGAAAAAGATTTGTTCATTTTGATGAACGAGTTCGAACAGGAGAGTCATGAATGCGCATCAGAGCAAGCCGAGCATTCTAGCTTATAAAACTTCAACTTTTTTGTTTTTTAACGATCGATCGTTTCGCTTGATAAGACCCTTATTCATCGTCTGGAATCGTTTAAAGCCCTTTGAACAGTTTGCACTGAAACTGTCTTTTTGACCTTGAACCGTTTGGTTCCACTGAAGTGCATTATATGGAGAAAAA